ATTTATTTATGCATACAAGAACTGGGGTACAGGCATGGTATGAGGATTCAGCAGAGACAGAGTAGGGAGCGGAACAGGCAGATCGACGAAGGACACTGCTGAGGGGTCAGGAGGGGTCTGCTCGCCCTGTGGGTCACCTCCCAGCTGGGAATCAAACTCGCACTGAAGCATCTGCAGCGAGCTTGCTGTGCTGTATCGTAACCTGCTGCGCAGCAAGGGAGGGCCGAGGCTTCACCCCTTCCCACCAAAGGCCAACCCCCAAGGTGAGGGCCCCCAGTCAGAGGATGCCAGACAGCGCCGCACCAGAGGCCAGGGCATCAGAGCGGAAGCAGAAGCTCCAGCAGCAGACACAGGCACACAGGCAAACCCTGCCCCTGGCATCACCAGGCCCTCCAAGGGCCCCTCCCAATACCCTAGTGCTGCCTTCCCTGGCACCTAGGGGGTGCTCTGAGCAGGATCAGGGTGGGCAGCCTGGGGCCCCCCTCCCACCCCTTCAAGCTAGGCCCCACGTGTCCCCGACGCCAGCCTCGCTTCCCCGTGACTGTCATCAACGAGCAGAGTCCGGGCCAGCTGCCCTGTCTGGACCCACTGAGCCACCGGCTGCTGACTCGCTCCGAGGGCTCATGGGGACCCCGCAGTGTCCCCGCCCCACACACCCCCACGCTAGGAGCTGCCCCTTGGGCAGTGGCTCCTGAAGCTCCCGGCTCAAACCTGGTCCGAGGGGAGGCGGGGGGCAGCGTCTGGCAGACCCCGACAGAAACAAGCCTGGAAGGCGGGGAACCACACTCACCCTGACGGCGCAGCGCCCTCCCATCCCCCGTCCCGTCCCCTGGCAGCCGAGGGCCTCCAGGGAGGGCGCCCCATAAGTGACTGCGATCCCGACCTCTGGTGAGGGCAAGTCTCTCATGCCTCCGGTGGGACCTGGAGTTTCCTTGGGCCCTGGCAGAGGACAGAGATGACCGTGCCAGGAGGTAGTGGGTGAGGCAAGAGAGGCCGCTCAGCTCCGAGAGTGTCCTCTGCAACAGAGGGACAAAGAGGGAGGGAGGCCGCTGAGGTGGGATTCGCAGCCGCCACCGCCCATGGTGAGGGCGGAGGAGGGGCAGAGCCGAGGCCTGTGGCAGCCCCGGGCGCCTGAGCCGGGACCCCTGGAGCCTCCGGAAGGAGCCAGTCCCACAGCTGGATGAGGCCCGGTGACCCCTGGGCCAGTGGACTCAGACGCCCAGAACCGTAAGATGATAAACCGCGTCGGTGCCATCCCGAGGCCAGGGCGATTAGTTCCACAGCGGCAGTACAGCAGTGACCAGCGTGGCCGGTCCCAACGGCCTACGGGCAAGCGCTTCGTCTCTGGACGCGCGGGCTCAGCCTCCGAGAGGGGGTGACCCACCGAAGAGTCTCGCGTTCGCTGCTGTTCCGGGTCGTGCCAGGGTCTACCACACCTGGTAATGAGCCATCCGTGCGCTGACCATTGTAAAGGGACAAGAAGTGGCGTTGCGAAAGAGCGTTATTTCACCGGACACAATTGCACACACCACGCTCAGCTCACGGCGGGGTCCGCCTGGCTAGGAGAGGCGGAGCGCGGGCCCAGGCGGCTGGCCGGACCCAGGAGCACCCCGGCACCGGCGCTGGGTGCCCCACACCACAGGCGGGGGAGTTCAGGCCCAGCCGAGGGCCAGCAAGGGTGGGGTCAAGTCTCGGGGAGCAGCCGCCCACCCCAGCACCTGCGCCCCATGTCGGCGGGAGCCCCATCTGCTGCCAGGCACCCGCTAAAGGAGAGGGGGAAAGGCTGAGTCTCTGAAATACGCCAGGGATGTCTAGCACTCTGTTCGCAGAAGTTGACTGAGTTCTCAAAAATGTCACATCCCAAACCTGGAATTTCACCCTGAAATTAAACAGGAGCTGTGAATCGCTGAAAAGCAGCTCGTCGGCCTCAAGGTAAAAATCCTCCTTCCAGCTTCTAAAGGTAATTGAATAAAATGCTCAGTAGAACAACGAGAAAGAAAGGGGCTCATCTTTTATTTTTCTTAGATTTATTTATGTACACAGAACTGGGGTGCAGGGCAGAGGTGCAGGGCAGTGAGAGGACTCCCCAGAGACAGCGGGGAGCAGGACAGCAGGATTCACTAAAACACACTGCTGAGGGGAGCCGCGGGGAGACAGGGGGTTCTGCTGCGCCCCGGGGGTCGCTCCTTGGCCAGGGAGGGGTTGGGGGCTCGCAGGAGGCTGCGGTTAGCTTCCTAGTGCTGCGCTTTAACACTGAGCCGCCAGGGAGGGGCCAGGAACTCATCTTTCAGAGTGCCTGGGCAGCCCATCAATGTGGGAAACTGAGTTCACGGTCATCTCGCTGCTAAGTGACTCGTAAACCTGCGCTTGCCTGTTTGATGCTGGAAAACCAGGGAGGAGGCGGCGCAGGGCGGGTTTGAGCCTGGCGCTGAGCCCAGCCACTCGGAGGTGAGTTTCCAGGACAGTCTGGGCTCCGGGCTTCCCCGGGGAACGTGGGCATGCATTTGCAGAAAAGGAGTGAGTTCCCGACCCAATTAACGAGCCGCCAAGGGATGCCGCCGGCTGTCCGCCCAGCGGAGGGAATTGCAGAGCCCGGGCCGGACCCCCAGCAGAGGAACTGCTTGTGGCGTGGGACAGCCACCACGAGAGGTGTCAGAACCAGACTGAGCCGCACCTGCAGTGGAGCGCCGTGCGGCTGTGGGCGTGCCCCTCGGCCTCTCTGGGCTGTGTCCCTCCTTGCAAAGTGGCCAGAGGCAGGTGTTCCTCCAGCTGTAACAGTGCATGTGTCTGACTGTTCTGTCCTCCCTGCACCTGACGGGCGTGGGCAGGGCAGCCACGTGCCCCTGCAGGTGTACAGGTAGCGGGCCGCCCACCTGGGTCTGCAGAGCCGGGGTCAGCTGCCTCGGTCGTCTGCACCGCGCCGCACCTCTGGCAACCTATTTTAAGAACGCGGCCTCGTGGCTCATGGGGAAGTGTTGCCATGCCAACTCGCTGGCTGGTGCTGATCGCAGCCCAGGGATGCGCTTTGCGGCCATCTGACAGCAAGCCTTCCCGTCTCAGCCCACGGCCCGCACCACGTCGGCCCAGACAGGCCACCTCGCTGGTCATGGCCCACAGTGGGAGCACGGCAGGTCAGTGCCGCGTTCCAGACGCGAGCACAGCACAGCAGAGCCCGCGGCCTGCAAGGTGCTCCCCACCCGTTACCGGCTGCGCTCCCAGCAGTGCGGGGCCACCCCCCCCCCCCGGCCAGGCGAGTACTCTGCGGAGGAGACGCCTGTGGTCTCAGGGCTTCTACGTTGCAGACCCTGAGCCAGGCAGGGCAGTGATCCGCCCTTAGCCTCCTTTCTCCTCTGCTGGGGGCGCTCAGCTCTCTAGTGCACGGAGGTCAGGTCCTGTCTGTTTAGCCAGAATTTGCAGGTTTCACAGTGCTGTTTCCACCCAGGCTCCCGTTTAAAGCCTGAAGGCGACAAGACGGGGGGCGGCTGGGCCACGCGGCCTCCTGGATCCCTGTGGGCGCGGCAGGCACAGCTTGCTCACCCCAGGGCCTCTGCCCCCCACTAGCTCAGAGGCCTCCCGTGGGGCTCCAGGAAAGCCAGAGGTCAGAGAAAGGCTGGTGCGGGGTGCTCAGGGGCAGGACAGGCGCTGCAGGGGGCGAGGGGGGCCAGAGGCCCCGAAAACCTGCTCCAGCTCGAGGATGCGCTGGGAGGGA